TCTACATATTTGTAACTATGGCATTACAATTTTTGTAGAAGTTTTGAAAAACAACAAGATTAGATCTTCATAGAAAAAGTTATTCTTTGATTTTGCTTATTTTATTCATAAAAATGGAGTATTCATTTATATTTTCTTACAATATAAGATATCATTCACCTTTACTTTTAAAGATAATGAAAATTTTCTTTTTTTTTATCCTAATCTCATAAAACAAAGTTTCATATTAACTCATACTTTATAATCAAGTAGAATAAAGGCAAACTAACATTACCTTTGAAAAAATTACTTAGCGAAGTTTAGATAAAACAAAATAGTTGAAAATGGAAATAAAATTCATAGAAATTATTTTTGTATACAGGAACAAAGTGATGAAATCAACAAGAATAGCGTTAAGATCACAGTAGCTAGTTTGTGCATTATCAAATCTTTTTGGAAATGAGGTCGAATAAAGCATATATAATTTTGTTAGCAGTTCAATATTTTTAGTAGATAATGTGCCCGTAAAAAGTGAATACGAAAGAGATACTCATGTCACTTGTATTAATTCTTTTTTCTATTTAAAGTACAAAAATGTTTAAATTTAAATTTCAAGTTCAAGCTAAGTGATTGATTTTTTTCTTTTTACTGTAAATGAAATATTTAATGATACTAAGGTAAAAGTAAATTTTATAGAATCGTTCTAGAATAATCAATGGTAATTGGATTAAATGCATTTAAAGAATTGAGGTTTTTTTTGTATACCATTATATGCATTTTGTTTCGTCTAACACGTTTGATTCTTTAGTCCAAAAATTTTAATATTAAGAGACAAAAAAAAATATTAGACATTAACACATAAATATCATATATGTGTTAAGTGCGTTCATAAGCAACCCAGATAAAATATTTATTGCACATGAGCATATTAAAACGCACAGTAGTAATAATGCATGGATGGGCATTTTGCATTCTGACTGCATTCAGATGCTATTTAAAGTTGCTTTTAATGGCATTCAGGCACAATACTATTTCAGGTTGTGTTTGAAAACAACTGTATCATCGGGTTGAAGCTACATTTGGAGTCTTTCGTTTCTACAATTTGTCATCTAGTTGTATTCCCAATAAGTTTACATGGGAACTAACATTGAACTTCATCTTTCAGTTAAAGTAAACATTTTTGCTTAACTTTTAATACCTCGAGGACGAGAATCACATATATGTGGTTTGGTTTTGAATCACTTTTTGACTGACTTATGAAGAGTTTTAATAATAGTTTTCTGGTGTCTTTGATAAAACTGGTTATGCGCTTGGATTGCTCTCATTCTCGCAAATATTTCTTTTCTCTTTCTGAGCGAATGATCTACACATTCTATGAGAATCTTACCTAGCAGCTTCGTAGAGTTTCATTTTCTCAAAAGTAATTCTATCTCCAAGGAATCACGTTTTTTTTTGAAATCTAAATACTACGTTTAACTTATATGTTATATTAGAACAAAGTTGATTTTATGAAAAATAGTGATGCTGGTGACATACCGAGAAATAGTGTTGTTTTAATATTGTTTTCCAATGAATGACCTGTAAGTGTCAAACTTGATACGTATTCTCATATATTTCTACTTCACCACCTATTAGGTCTTCATGAATTTGTATGATGCATACGAACATGATGAGATTTCTGGTTTGCACATGTTCATTCTTATCTTCCATCTTTGATGTAATGCTAATCACTGACATTTTAAGTTGCAGATGTCAAGAATGGACGTATTAAGAATTGAAAAAAAAATAAGACTTTAATACGTCGTCATAATGATTTGATGTATAGTTTTCATTTTTTCTGAATGAAAAGTGAGTAGTGTACTTCACTGTTCCATACCTACTCATCCATATTTTGATGAATTATTGTGCATTCTTGATGAAATACGGTGCACTCATGGCTAGAGACACGTTTACATGCATCTTATTTATACAAAACAAAAAATCCGCGTTTAAACACGTTACTGAAACTTAAAAGCATCCATAGCATACAAACTAAGTGCATTCAAACGCAAGAGTGAAATTAATCGCGTTGAAACGCGTGTAAAAATCATTTTAAACTAGTTTTGACGCATTTTAATCGTGAAACGCCTCTAAACGCATGCAAAATTTGAAACGCGTTCAAAAATTCATGTGGTGAACGCATTTCAGTGAGTTTGCAGGCAGTTTCAATTTCGAGACGCGTTTAAATGCGTCAAAAAAGTGTTTCATGGTTACATGGGAAAAACACCAAAAGATACAACGTAAAAAGGTTTTTAATTTACATAAGACTCCTAATTTTTATAGTTGTACATTTTACTGTCGAAATAGAAAAATGTTTAAAGTATCACATTCCGGTCATGTCAAAATGATATTTTCTTTTTAGTATAGAATGAGCTTGTTTTTTCAATTATTTCATGTTTTTATAATATGATACGTTTTCGTAAGTAAAAACAAAATATGACGACAGATGCAGCGTGCAAAGCTTTAGAAGTTGTAGAAATGATAGAAAGATGAAATAACAGAAAAGAAATCTCTCGTTCGTGTTATCTTTTCGTAGAGTCGAAATTTCATTGGTTAAAATTTTGTCCATTTTGAAAGCAAAATGCGCAATTATAAAACTTAGTAGTCCAGTGTAAATTGTAGAGCTTTTCACACTGTATCTTGTGGTGTACGTTAATTATTTTTTAAATACAACTTATAAAGATAATGGTAACTGGCGTACAAAATTTTGACCATTCAACCTTTTATGTGTTATATTTGGAAACGTATGTACCTAATATAAAAAAAATCATACATTACAATAAAGATCAAGACTTAGGAGCCTGAAATTTTGAGTATAATTCTAAATGTGTCTGGACATTGTACCAGATTAGTTACTCCTTATTCAAGTCGTTTAAGAAGGTCGGACGAAAAAACTTTTGAAGTGCCCCTTGTGCTTTATTGGTCAATCATATTCATATGAAAGGTTACTTTACATTTTATTAAATTCATAGAAATGTTTCCATGCTTGGTTATTTATGGTATGCGTGTAACGGAAGAGCAGCATCCACAACCTTACACTCACACTATCTTGGGATGTGCGTAGATGTAGATATGGGTATGGATATTTATGCCATTCACATATACTCGCACATAATGCTACACTTTCACCAACATATCCAAAAAAACTATCGTAATTTACAGAGTACAAATGTATTTATTGAAAAAAGAAAAACAAATATGATGCACTGGTGAACAAACAGATAAATTTTACAAAAAAATCTCTTCTCACTTCTTAAAATCATTACCATCATCAATCTTTTTCTTCTTAGTCTCTCGCTCTTCCACAAACTTGCATATACCAATGAGTAAAACACTGCACATAACCAGTGCAGTTCCAAGTAAAGCCCAGAAATTAGACTTCTTCTTTGTAAATAAATTTTGTAGAAGAATAGCGTAAATAATATCTGATGCTGAGAGAATTGTAGCAACAGATGGTGGCTCCCGTTTCACGGCACGATTTCCAAAGATTATGGAAATTATCTGTAATAGACTAATTAGTCCAGCTAGCCAATATTTCCATTGAAAGATTGTCGATGTGAAGAATGTCACATCATTTAGTAAAAAATATTTATAAAATTCATTGAGAATAACACATAGGAGAAACATACAGGCATGTTGTAGAACTAAAACACTCGGCCTAAGTTTTAGCGCTATTAATTGTTTAAAGATTAGAAGAATAAATGCAGACAAAAGACCTGTCGCTAATGAAAGAGAGATGCCAATTACTCGATCATTAAACGAATATATGTTTGCTATGTCTGTTCCATTCGATGCTTTTGAAGACATATTTCGAGTGACTTCCGTCACCTTCTTCTGTTTAAAGAGAAAGGTTGGTTGTGCTACCAATACGACGCCAATGATTGTAAAGCAAACAGATAAGAGAGTCGTCATTGCCGGTTTCTCTTTATAGATAAGTATACCAAAGACAACAGTCCAAAATAAGCATGTAAATTTGAGTGTGATCATATCAGGTAGAGGAATATAACGAAGACCAATAAAGTATCCGAGAAAGTTGAAACCATTTATAATACATAAGACAAACTGTAGCCATTTTTCTTTTGATGTGCCTTGCCATATTGCATAGTGATGGTAGATGACGAAGACTAGAAACAGAGAAATCTGTATGATAAGACGTATAATAAGTGCACTAAGTAGGTCAATTTCTAATTCTTTAATAATGAATGTGGCTGTGACGTAGAGAAAAGGACTCAAAAGACCGTACAGAAAGCCAGATAGAGCGAACGGTTTCAATGTAGCTGTCGTTTCACTATTATCTTCTTCTTCTTCTGCCGTTAGTAACATAATCGGCTCTATCACTGTGAGTACAGATGAACTACGTCGAGTTTTTGTTACATTGCCATGGTCAATAGCAGATGAAGACACTAACGGATGCTGCTGAGTATTACTTTCCTGTCCTAGTAGATTCATGGTGATTTTTGTCTTGTGTGTGCGAATATTAGAAAGAAACAAATTTTATGATCTCTGATAAACTGTAATTTTACAGCCCAGAAATAAAAAAGATAAAGATAACTATTCTTTCCTACTCTAATGACTTATTCAAAAGAGTGTCGTAAAGTAATAAAGATAGTGTTATTGAGGAGAAAGAAGAAAAAAATCTCGACTTAGACAAGAAAAAGAAGATTGATTGCTGGTTTAATTGCTATCACAGATTGCAAAGTACAATTGGTCATTTTAACGATCAAGCAAGCTTCAAAATTGTTTCAACAGGTTTTCAACAATCATCTTTCATGAAACTTCTCGAAAGCCATGGAAATTTGAGAGCATGGGTGTGGATATGTGTATACAGAGGATCAATACCTATATCCACACTCACAATTCATACTATTTTGTGATACAATACAAGCAACATTGTTTATGCAGGGAGTAGGGTGTGGGTGTGGGCGTGAGTGTGTGGCTATCTTGAGGGTGTGGATGGGAGGGTGGGTATGCGCGGATGTGGTATTGGTGTGGGTGGGGGTGGGGGTGTGGGCAGATCTTGTATAGCTACCCATACCCCACCCACACACGCCCACACCCACCCCACACCCCCATCCTCACCCACACCCACACCACACCCACACCCACACCCACACCCCACATCTACCCAAAAACTCATCCTATTCTACCAGTTATCAATATAAAAGGAAACTTTAGAATATTTGATCTATTTCACTCTAAAAACAAAGTATTTCAATCTTACTATTGTTGAAATTTCACAGTTATTTGTGAACCTGTGAATAGTTTATATCGGGTGTCCCAGAAATAATAAGTGACTCTGTATTTTTGATATTTCTCCTCTATTATCGTTTTGATTAAAATATTTTCTTTATCAAAAGATAGCGCTTGAAATTCTCTACAAAATCATATATGACTAGACCTAAAAATTGTTTTAGATATATTTGAAAAAAGACGAAAAATAAAAACATATAAGCAGCTGTAAAAAGTAAATAACACGTACCCCATAAGAAATAACCGCACTTTACTTTTCATATTTTAAGCTCTAAATACGTTCTATTAAAAAAGCAAACTATACGACATGATGCAGCGTAAAAAGCTCTACAATTTAGAATCTAAAGTTTATTTTAATTGTACACTTTTTGTGTACAAAAAATATCAAAACTCGATGTGACCAATTTTCGCTATTGTGAAAACTGATCGCACAGAATTTGGAGTTCTTTTATACATAAAAAGTACACCAATAAAATAAACTGTTCTTTGTAAATTGTAGAACTTTTCACGCTGCATCTTGTAGCATATTTGTTTTTTAAACATATTAGGTGATAAAACGATAAAATAAAAAAAAAGGAATTTTCGTTCGTATAAAAAAAACCATTTTTCTCAAAATAGCAAAAATTGGTCACATCGAGTTTTGATATTTTTTGTACACAAAAAGTGTACAATTAAAATAAACTTTAGATTCTAAATTGTAGAGCTTTTTACGCTGCATCATGTCGTATAGTTTGCTTTTTTAATAGAACGTATTTAGAGCTTAAAATATGAAAAGTAAAGTGCGGGTATTTCTTATGGGGTACGTGTTATTTACTTTTTACAGCTGCTTATATGTTTTTATTTTTCGTCTTTTTTCAAATATATCTAAAACAATTTTTAGGTCTAGTCATATATGATTTTGTAGAGAATTTCAAGCGCTATCTTTTGATAAAGAAAATATTTTAATCAAAACGATAATAGAGGAGAAATATCAAAAATACAGAGTCACTCATTATTTCTGGGACACCAGATATTTAACTGAAGTGATATCCCTATAAATACGGGGGATTCAACCACTCACACCATATTTACCATGTAGCCTAAGTGGTCATTAAAAATACACTGCTAATCAGAAATAAAGTCTAATTTATAGAAATTGAATTATTAAGATATCGAGAAAAAAACAAAAGAAACATAATATAATTAAATTATGTCATTGATATCAATTACATTTTCGGTACTGATGAGTTAATATATGAATATTTCGAAAATCAACTGCAGAATAACCCGTAATCAAAGAATACTTTTAACAGATAAGAAGAAGATGAGAGATTGTGTCATGCAACATATATATATATATATGAAATTATCTTTCATTGTCTTTTGAAACCTTCTCATATAACATAATCAAACATTTCTTTGTTAATTAATCAACTATTACTGAATAACCTATTTGTCTTTTTATTATTCACTTTGAAAACAAAAAAAGAATCTTTTCTTTTGTCCTTATTTGAAAGATACAAACAATAAAATAGAGGTATTTTCAAATGATTGAATAGTTTAAGGAAGAAATATTTAAGAAATGACTAAAATAATAACAAAATATTTGGACGAATTTAAACTTATTTCTTCTAATGAATTAACAAACTTTGTCATAATAGTATTTATAATTATTCAAAATTATTCGATTTATTCATTTGTAAAAAAAAAAACGATGAAAATAATAAAATGTTTTTTAACAATTAAAAAGAATAGAGAAAATGCTTGATTATAATAATAAAAATTGTCAATAAATAGATGTGTAAGATTTCGTTTCTTGGAAGATATTTTACATCAGAGTATTTTGTTTATATTTTCATATTTAAAATATAATCATATATTTGTCATCTTTTCTATTGTTATTAAACGTTTTTTTCTATTTCATGACTAATAATATTTTTCGTAGGCAAAACAAGTATGTTTATATTGTGTGTGAATAAATTGGGTGTATAAAAATAAATATAATCAACACTCGTATTGTTTGTAAGTCTATGACGAAATACGTTTTGATACTAAAACAGCAGTAAGGTGATGTATTTACCATGTGATATGACAGAAAAAAAAACGCACTTAAAATAATAAATAAAGAGGATATCTAGTGCAAGAAATACACATTAAAACCATCGAACAAACATCGTTTGATTCGAGATGGTTGAAAATGAATCTTTCAATTATGATAGATTAAATCGTAGAATATCTCAAATGAATTCATCAATTAATCCGTTTAGTATTTATTTATTTTGTTTAAATTAATAAACGAAAATTTTGAAACTTATTTTAATTTAGGATTAATATAAGACAACGTACAAGTAATTTTGAAAATATTTTCTTTTATTTTATTTTTATGTAAATATAATATATAGGTATAGCATGGAGTCGACAACGGCTTATAACAAAAGATGGAAATATTAATTTTCGAAGGTAAATTTTTATTTATATAAAATAAAATAAAATAAAATATTCAATATAGATTACATATTGGAAATCGTATTCGTTATTTAAAAGATATTTTCACATCATTATTAGATTTACCATGGATATGGATATTATTTTTATTTGTTTTTTGTTTTGTCATATCATGGATTTTATTTGCTATTATTTGGTATGTTATTATGATTATTCATGGTGATTTTTCAAATAAAACATTAAATATAACTGATGATAATTATATTCCTTGTGTTGCTGGTGTTAAATCATTTAGTGGTGCACTTCTTTATTCAATAGAAACTCAACAAACAATTGGTTATGGAACTCGAGCAGTAACTGAAAAATGTACAGCTGGAATTATTCTTGTAATAACTCAAAGTTGTTTTGGTCTTTTAATTCAAGCTTTATGGGTTGGTCTTGTTTATACAAAATTATCTCGTCCACGAAAACGTCGTCAAACATTAATCTGGTCACAACAAGCTGTCGTTTCACTTCGTGATGGACTTTTAACATTACAATGTCGATTAGGTGATATGCGTTATAGATCAACATTAGTTGAAGCTCATATAAGAATGTATTATGTTTCAAAACGTCAAACAAAAGAAAATGAAATAATTCCACTTCAATTAACTGATATGGATGTAGGTTTTGATGCTGGAAAAGATAGATTATTTCTTAATTGGCCACTTATTATTGAACATAAAATTGATATGCGAAGTCCATTATATACAATGGATAAAACGACAATTTATACAGAAAAATTTGAAATTTTACTTGTTCTTGAAGGAATTATTGAACCAACTGGAATGGTTACACAAGCTAAAACTTCTTATCTACCTGAAGAAATAATTTGGGGAGCAAGATTTGAAAGAATGATTCATTTTGATAATCTTTGTTATACTGTTGATTATTCAAAATTTAATTCAATTATTAAAGATAATTGTACAACTGATTGTTCAGCTAAACAACTTCAAGAACAAATCAATAATAATTAATTTCTTTTTCTCCTTTCATTAGATTTAAAAGACCTTATTTTTTTAATTACAGAACATTCTTTTTTTTGTGAAACTCTATTTGTTGAATATAATTTCATCTATTGACGAGACAGAGATGACAACCATCGAGAAAGTAAATTAACAAACAGGTCATTGAATTGCAAAACCCATTTCTGTCCAAGACTACAACGACAATAAAAGGCTTGTCAATCAATCTGATATGCAAATGTCGTTTTCAGAGTCTGTGCACAAATCATTGAAATGATACAAAAAATTCTTTTTCCATTTCCTTGATATCTCGCTCTTCAATGCCAATGTACTATACAAACTACAAACCGGCGAAAAAATTGCTCTTTCCAATTTTTGACTGGAAATAGTTCGAATGCTTGTGGAAGAATTTGGTGTTCGAAGATCGAATAGGCGAGGCCGATCATTCACTGAGATGTCTGTGCGCATAACAGCACGACACCTTCCAACAAAAGTGAAAAGCTCGAACGACGGGTGAAGGTGTTCCTTTGTCTGTAGTCACATGACTCGTGCTTCAAAGAAGGAAACAAAAACCAGTTACGAGTGCAATGTTGGCTTATGCGTAGTACTATGTTTTGAAACCTATCATACGTTGAAACACTTAGAATTTTCAGCGATTGAGAAAGCTACTTTTACATTTCTTATTGGAAAAAAAACCCGGTGCGAAAGGATTAAAAGGATTTCGTCTTATACATTATCAGAGAAAAAGACGTTCCCACTTCTCCTCTTTCGATTGACGAAAACCGCAGGTCGATAGCTGTTGCGTTTGTCGAGCTATTGAGCTTACACCTACCCCTATTTAATTCTGGCGCCGACAATAGATGAAATGAAGTTATCAGTTTCAAATTTTCTCTTTTCTGATGTTTTGGATGCTGTTCCGTTTCCACTGAATGGTTTTTTTTTACACTGTTTCTTTTTTTTTCCTTCAAGTTTGCAACTCATTGCTAACGTTTTAATAAAATATAATGAATATAATACAAGAATAGCAAACAAAAAATACAGGCCTATGATTAATCTCCAAGATTTCACCATGAGTACTCATGGATACTTACGCATTTTCTAGCATGAGTAATATTTGATTGCTCACTGGACGATTGCTCTCACTAGAAGATTTATTCGAATAACGTTAATGAATACAAAGCTTGGTTGAATATGTAAACTATAGATAGTTATAAGAACAGAATATATGAACAAAATGAATAATTATAAGTTTCCCACTGTTAGTTCCATATGTGTAGAACGAAAGAGAGACAAGCAGTGTCACTGATGTTATGTGACAGAACAATGAAAAAGATGACCTTCATGGGACTCGAAACCATACCTTCTGCTATTCGGGCAGATGTCCTAAGCCAATTAGACTGGAAGGCGCATCTTTATCATCGTTTATCGTCCAAGTAATCTATCATGGACGCTAACACCCACATGCTAATTTATATAAACCATTGCTCGACGCTATATTAACTCTTTTTTAAAGAATCACATTGATCAATTGTGTAGAACTTATCCTTACGTTTTCATGTTCACAATTTGATTATTACGAGAGAAAATATAATCCAACAACATACTATTTGAAAAACTGACTTTGTACTCCAGTTCTATGCCAAAGCATTTGATTAGGAATTATTTTCTATCAGCATTTTAGACTATTTTTATTGCATTCCAAGGCTTATGTAACATCTTCTATAGCTAGATGATTTTCATAGAGATTTCGATTCGTTACTTTTATCAATGCTGTTTATGCAAAATATTCTGTGTCTTTTGAAAATTCGCTTTCATTCATATGATGGAATTTGTTTTCTGCTGTAATAAGAGAAGTTTGCAAATTAATATTTAGGATCTCTATATAAACAAGGCTTGATGAAGTAGTTATTTTCGAAGTAATCATAAATGGTTATATTCTCTTATGTTGAAAAGATTTCATTGATGCACAAAACCTGTCACAATGTTGTTAGCATCCTTTTTTTTGATTTATTTTCTATTACTTTTTTTCTAATTCAACAACACTTCTGCTGATCCACTATATCATATACGAATCATGAATAACAGGATTAAATTCATTCTTATGCTCGTTTTCGAAATCCCAGCTATTGTTGTCTCAATTGTGATCTTTGGCCATATTGCTCTGAACCATGCAGTTCGTTCGAAAATCAAGAATCATAGATGGCTTATTTTAATTATCGTCAATATGTTTCAACTCCTAATGGATTTACCAATGCCAATGAGCTATTATTATATGGAAATTGTTTGGCCACAGTCTTATCCATATTGTGTATGGTGGACATGGTGTGAATTTTCACTGAATGCTATCAGTTTGTTTCTAATGACATGGATTTCCATTGAAAGACATATGCTTGTTTTCAAACCAAATGCGATGCTTCAAAAGCCATGGAAAAAATGGATGTTTCATTTCATACCAATTATTCTTTGTTTGATTTACACACCAACACTTTATTTTGTCCTAGTAGTCATTAGTCCATTTTGTACGACTTTATGGGATTATAACTATCTTATCTGTGGTTCTCCGTGCTATTTTACGACGAACTTTCTCGGTCAGTTTGATTTCATTTTCAATGTGGCTATTCCCGTCTTCATAATTACACTCGCAAATTTAGCATTATTAATTCGAGTGATCTATCAAAAGATGTCTTGCAATCAAATAATACGATGGCAACGTCATCGCAAAATGTTACTTCAGTTATGTATTATGTCATCACTTTACATGGGATGTTGGCTACCTTTGACGATAGTATGGCTTATCCAAATAACTATAATGCCTTCATTTGTGGCTGATCAAATGGACATCCTTTTTTTTCTTATCTATTTGATTCCACTTTTTTTTGCCAATGATATGTCTTAGTACACTTCCCGATTTAGTCAAGAAAATAGTAAATACTGTTATAAAACCGACTTGGAATGTTGTTGGCATAAATAATGTTACCTGAGCTGCAGAACAGACAATGACCAATACAAATCGTCGATAACTTTTATTTCTGAAAAACATATAAGTTTCATAGTACTTTTTTTTCTTTTCCTGGCGAACAAATTTAATTAAAAAACATTACTTGTGCGTAATAAATATATCAAATAAGAGTTCAATACTTTTAAGCTCGTGCAGATTTTTCAAAGGTATTTTCAGTTTTCTACAGATAGAAAAAATTTGTATGATGCTATCGATAATATGGACTACTCCTGTCAACCAGCTTCAAGATTACAATAGATTAGCAAATCTTCGATATTTGTATCGAAGTAATTCTAATCTTGTATTTTTTTTTCTTATCTAAGTATTCTCATTTAAATGGTTGCATCTTTAATTTTGAATTCAAGTAGCTTCTTCCTAGATTAGCTCTTGAAGAAGTTGTGAGCATTCAAGGATTACTAAGGCTAACAGAATAAAAGTAATAAAGTTGGTCTAACTATGATTTAAATTCTATTATCTACTTAATTAACTTTCATAAAGACGCTACATATTTGTGTAGTTGTAGAATAGGTTTGAATGCGCATATACAGTTTTAATTAATGAACATTCAAATCTAAACATACAAACATGGAGAAATCAATTAATCAAGTAATCGATTCCATAACTGAAAGATGGTATTTTTTGCTTTACTTTAAATGGTATTGATTTTTCATTGACTATATTTTCCGATCAATAACAGAGATGAATATTAACTATGATATGTGTGTGAGGATTTCTTTTACTTGGATTCAGATAAATTAACCCATTTGAATCAGATTAATAGCCAAATTATTCATTCGAAAGCCTTTGCGGGTTGAGCCAATCTTTGTGATATGAAAGTTTCGTCAAAATTTGACGATTTTGGTCTTGAATATACCTTAAGAATATGCAAAATTTTCGCACTGAAAACCGGTTTTTTTTTCTTGAATAATTATCGCCCGCATTACAAATTTAAGCAATTGAGAATAGGACATATGGACCTTCTGGAATACCTTTGTGAAATTAACCAAGTTTTAGTTTTCCAAAATAATACATATAATCATTTATGAGTTGATTAATGTATGGAAAATTGCGTAAGATCCGGTACAGATATCATGGATATGTAAAACAGACTTATTTGTTAATCAATGCCATGACTATAAGAAGAAGAATGTTAAATTAAGAAAAACAAATTAGAAATAATGCAAAATAATAAGTGAATATCAGTGATACAAACAAAACATAAGACGCGTCTAGAAAAAAGAGAAATTGGGTGTGGGTGTGTAGGGTGTGGGTATGGGGTATGGGTGTGAGTGTGGGTGCGTGTGAGTGTGAATGGGTGTCAGTGTAGCACAAAGAAGAGGAGATTCCACACTCACACCCACACCCTCAGATCATGAATTCTCATAAATATCGTTCACCATAATATTTCATCAATTATTAAAATTGTAATTTTTAACCAAAATCATCCATGAAACATGTATTACTTACATGCTGAAGGATTATTAACAAAAGTAATGTTTATCTATTTATCATAGCTATAATCGCGGAAAGAAATTGACTTTAAGTCTGAATCAAAAATAAATTAATAAATAGTTTTAGTTTTCAAATATTGTCTTACTAATGATATTGTTAACAAAGATAACATAAATATGTTTTTATTCTAGAATAAATCTGGCGAATACGTAAAATAATTTCATTATTTTATGACACATGTATCAATAAAATAGAATCATATGTAAATGTAGAAAATTTGGTGTATATACTAATTCATAAAAGCAAAGAGAAAGCAAATAATACTACCATTTATAAAATATTTTATTTGAAAAATTATTTATTTCCAGTATTTTATTTTCTCGTATGAATCAGCACGAAAACAACATTCTTAACAAGTTGTTACGTTTAGGTAAGAATTCTATCTCATTGTGTCTGTTGCACTCAATTGTATTTACATGTGCTCTTATCTTGACTTTCACATAGCAACATATTTAATACTATCCGATTTTCATACGCTACCTTTGGTTTCTCAATTCTTTTATTACGAAATATTTGCAATAGAATTGTAAATGTGTCAGATTACTCATGATTAAAACTCAATCAAAGTGTTGACATTTTATTATTTTTAACACAAGCATCTTTAATTTGTCGTGAAGAACTACAACCATACTGTGTTGATCCTATATGGCTTCTTTCAAAATCATCAGATACTTCAAATTATGTTCTTCGATTCGTATCTGCGATTATTTGGTTATTTATTCTTATATTAACATGTAACTATTCATATTTTCTTACCATATATTTGATTTTAATGTGTAATTGAATATTAGTTTAATATATCTCACACATTATTTGAGTATTATTATTCAAATTTGTTGGATTTAATAAAATCCATATTATTTTGACACATTTATTTATTTAATTCTTGTATTTGGTCTTGCTTATCGATTTTCATTGATGACATTTTTCAGTTTTTTATTTATTATCTTATTCTCAATAATAATCAATCAATTCCATTATTTTCATCAATATTATCTGATGATTGTTTTTATGCAACTGATCATCAACCAGTACTTGCTCCAATACGTTGGACAACTCTATTTTTAACATTATGTTCTCTTATAAATAATTATCTTTCATTAATATTTTTCACCATACTAATAGGAAAAAGAACTAAATGAAATATATTACAAACACTTCCTGAAATAAAACATTTCGTACTCAATCATAAATATGACTATTCGTTTCATACGATTTTTCGTTAATAGATATGTGACTTGCTCGTATCGCATTTTGCATTCGAGTTTCATATTTTTTGTTGCAATATATAGTATAAATCAAAAATATTTCGTTTTCTCGACATATTTTATTCTATTGAAAAAAATTATAACAAAGGAAAATATTCATGGAAATTTTCTGGACTAACAAATGGTTGACATACACATAGACTTTTCAATTTACTGGAATTAAGATCCATTGCATCATTGGTAAAATTGTTTGTTATTGTTATGAGTGATTTGTATTGCACGGAGAGATTTAACAAACGTGGTAAATGAACATTTTTTTTCAAGAGAAATAGTTCAGCATAGTCATCATGTGCATCTTGTAGATCAAGCAGTGTGAGATAAGGAAATGTAATTAATGTTAATGAATGTTCTTTGGTTTTTGGTGAATAATGATTACATATACGTAAGAATTCTAGAAAAGGAAAATCTTCAGAGATAACATTAAATAATTTATGTTCAAAAGGAACTGTATCATCCATCGTCAAATATCGCACTTTATGAAATATGCCACCTTGAAAAGAATTGTCCAAGTCAAAAAAATAATCGAATTCATATGGAACTGAATAGATCAAGCATTTGCCTTTGTTCTCCATTGAATCATTATGAACATATGAAGTAACTTGTTGATAACCTCTTCCAATGAAACTATGTTGAATATCTTCATTCGATGGAAGTTTAACTCTAAAAATGTTAGAGACATTTGTCTTGATATTAAATGTAAATTTCTTTAATTGTGTCATATAAACAAGAAATTGATCACATAATTGAATACCATCAATATAAGTTGAGTCAAATCTTTGTACTAATAGATATAATTTCAATTCTTCAAGATTTACCATTTGACTGAGCAATGGAACAATTAGATCATCATAATCAACTGTGATCTTAGGTGAAGATAATGAAAAACATTTTAATTTAAGAAGCTTTTTCTACAAGATAAATAAAATTAAAATTATTTATTTAGTTTAATATTTTCCTTGCAAAACATGATCATTGAAATTATACTTACTTGTGAATCTTTAGGTATTTTTGGACCAAAAATATATGATATATTAATAATTAATGTTGATAAAGAATCGAGATGACCATCAGACAAATAAAGACAATCCAATGAACAGGAAACAGTGATTGTCAATTTGACTAAAGTTAAAGACATACAATTTGTTGATGGTAGATAACAAATAGGACGTAGACACCTTCGTGTTGGAAGCATATCACAAAAATTTAAAACAGTTAAGTTTTTACATAAGGATAAGATTAATGCAAAAATCTTTGAAACTATTTTTGTTCTTTGTCTTATTGTCTTTTTAATATCAATATTAAGATGTGTTATTTGTTTGGTAAGAAGATTACGAAGAATTACATCATCTTTAATTTAAAAAAAATGAAAGATAATTATTAATTTTTATCTGATTAGATCGATTGTTTTTATTAATTCTAACGAATAGAATTAAATGCAGTACCTGTTAAATGTTGATAAAGCATTTCTTCTTGAAAATTAATAAGTGATGATGAATAAAGTTGAGGATAATTGGCAGCAAGAAGAATTGGTTTAATTGAAAACTCTTCAATAGTGAGTTTATGTACTTGTGAATGAATTCGAGGTAGGATTTTGTCAGAAACTTTTGAAATAACTTGAGCATCTATTGAACATGGTTGCTCATAGAATGAATTGATGGTCATAGTATCAATCATATTAAGATTATTAATATAAAGACAATTAAGTGCTAAACGATCAAATCGTCGATTAACATTCACAAGTGAGTAAAGAACTTCAACCATATTGAGTTTTTAAAAATGACGAAGAAGATTTCATCAGGTATATCGAGTATATTGAGCTCATTTTTATTCAAAATGTTCATGTCTGATTCGTAGAATATATTCGTGTCAATCTATATATACTTCGCATTCTCATGGCCGTCTATAAGAAAAATAACGAATAAATATCGATGCCTTCATGTTTGTTCTATAATGAAGATAATAAACAGACTAGATTAATTCAAAATGAGCTAATACTCCAAAGAGACTGACTTAATTCAAAGTGAATTAACCAATACAATTCACGTTGCTATGTAAAAAGGTCAATAATGTTTCTTCATTCACTATGAATTAGTTCAGTCTGTGTAATCACCAAATAGATGATGACATTTTTCTTTCTGTTAGCTTAGTATTCTGTTGTCAAACAAAAAAAATATTTCTCATGTAATGTGCTTCTTATAACACACAATATTATATTTCGAAGAAAATAAAATATATTAATTAGACATTAGAAGTCCGTTGAGAAATTCTCAAAAATCTTGTGGAATAAAAATTTCTCATTGATTTTATTTAGTTAAACTGAACAAAATGAATTATACAAAAACGTAAGAAGTACAAACTGTAGTTAGTTTCATTGAAATGTACAGATTTCTTGAAGTCTATATTGAAAAATATATTGATATTAAGAATTAGTTCAAAGCTTGTAAAAATTCTCTTGAATGAATTTTTTCTGCCAGAATATTAATGACAAGATAATTAATAAAAGGCCAAATATTTTGATAGTCATTGATCCAATAAATGAAAGATGGCAGCAACTTAAAGAATTATCTTTGTGTGCTTGCATATTTTTAAGTAATTTTGTTTCGTTTAATCTATATTTTGGATTAAAAAGTACGGTTATCATTGGATCACTTTGTTTTAAAACAACTTTACAAACGTTTATGTGTACTACGAGCTGTCATATGATGAAAAATTTGTAAATGATTATAAAGATAACTTAATTTTTCTTCGCATAAACGAATATTATCTATTGAAAGAATATGGAAAAGATCAGAACTTATGGAGATTTACCACAATATATAGTTCCAGATTCATTTAGATTTGATGACGATAAGAATGAATAATTATTTGACGTTGTACGCCGAGGACAATCTTCATGATCCTTAAATTTTGCAACAAAGAAAAAGAATTTTTGTTAAAAAATCTGTAATACAAATATTAACGGAGTTATCTTCACCAATATTACTAAAATTAGTATCACTACGTTCTTCTTCTGCCCATGAATTAAAAACAAAAAGGATGATTAATATAACTTTAAAAAACAAGATATATGTATATATTTATTCTTATTTATTATCTTTATTTTCTGTTGATAAACTTGTACTGTTCGATACTATATATGGGTGTGGGTGTGGATATGAATGAACAGAAGATTAACATCCACACTCACTCACACCCACCCACCCACCCACCCACCCCCCACCCACCCCACCCCCT